ACCTCTCAAATGCCATTTCATACTTCTCTGCAGTCTCTAACATTAGTGCAAAGAATTCCACTTGGTTGGTGTCTCCATGCTCAATAGCTTGTTGCTGTCAATTTTCTCAATAACAACAGCTTCTTTGAACCTTAGAATCCTTTGAGGACTTTGCCTAATAAACTTAACAACAGCTCTAACTGAATTGATGGAAGTATTCATTATTTTGGCCCCATCTTGCACAACCACATTAATTATATGGGCTGCACACCTCATATACAACTCATCCCTTCCTAAGATACTAGTCCCCCACTTATTTATGGCATCTCTAACCACTCTCACAACACCATCATTGGCAGAGGCATTATCAATAGTCATGGCATACACTAGATCAATTCCCCAATCCATTAAACACAACTTAATTAAATCACCCAAATCTTTTCCTTTATGAGAGTCGACAGGACAAAAATTAAGTATCTTCGTATGCAATTTCCAATTCTCATCAATGTAATGAGCAGTCAAGCTCATAAATGAGATTCTTTGTTGTGAGGTCCAAGTATCAATGGTTAAGGAAACCCTCTACTTAAACTCTTTCAAGTAATTCCTAAGAACTACTCTTTCATCAACATACATATCATAACAATGCTTGGTCACGGTTTTTCTAGAAAGGAGCTTGAAATTAGGAGGCAAAGCTACTGCAATGAATTTTTTTAATCCTAACCTTTCTACAATGCTAAAGGGATACTCATCAATGATTATCATTTCAACTAAAGCCCTTTTCATAGCATTAAGATCAAATTTCCAAGTGGTAAGTTTAGTGGCACCATGCCCATCACCATTATCAGCACTATAAAATCTACCCAAACCAAGTAGTTTCTGATTTTTCAAGCTTTTAGGATTCAATTTACAGATTCTTATGTGCTTTTTCATTGTTGAAGTCCCATTATTCCTTGAGCTAGCACATAGAGCCTTCTTACAATGCATACATGTAGCTTTCACTAACTCCTTATCATTTATAAACTTGGTAAAATGTTCCCATACCTCTAAACTTTGTCACAAATCCTATTTCTCAATTTCCTTCCCCTTCCTTTTTGTTGCTTTTCCATCAGTTTTGTTAGTGTTCTTCTCATTCCCTTTGTCATTGGTTACCTCTTTATCTTTTTGCTTATTAGCCCTAGGTTGCACAAAAACAACTACCATGTCATCTTCATCAATCATGTGTAAATCCTCCTACATTGTTGAAAAAAATATTAATAAAATTACAATATAATGTAAGAGTTTAAAGTATGAAATAAAACAGAAATTAACATTACGTTACAGTTATCATACATCAATATTATCAGTTAATAATTTTTAGTAAATTAATAACTTATGCAAGAGAAAATTAAAATTAACATGCTTAAGTTAATAATAGAAGCATCACGCTAACCTTAATCAAGACAAACAATTTCCAAAAATACAACTTCTAGTAAACAGGTTTCGTAGAAATAAAGCAGCTAGCAATACAAAAATCAAAATGATCTCTAAAAAAATATTAACTCAAAACAAATCCAAGCTAAAAGCTTACACTTGAATTTACTGATTGATGCTTTTCATTATTAATCTCCATGTGAAGATAATCACACTACATTTTAGATAAAAAATGAAATTAACACAAGTAAATATTATTATCAAAACAAATAGATTCATTTTAGAGTTAAGGTTTTCTAACAAACAGCGAGGATTTAGTTAACAAATAAGTGATTGAAATTTAAAATAAACAATTTCTAAAAATCTTTCAGATTTAATTAAAAAGAGAAGTGATTTATACCTTTGGTTTTGGGCAATTTGTTAATTGAAAAGAGTGGGTGGCAAATTTTATGAAGAGAAAGAGATAACAAGGATCAAGTTGACAATTTCGGTGGCAACCACAAAGTGGGTCACCACCGGCCACCACCTTTGTTGATAGACCCAAGAAAATGGGAGAGTAGGAAGTTCCGAAGTTGAGAGAACAGAGAAAAAAGAAAGATGAAAATGGCTGCCTTGTTCGAGTTTAGGTTAATTTTCATTTTTATACTTAGGTTTTTTTTTAGTTGCTAAATTACTAATTTGCCCAAAAAAATCTAATAAAAAGTGACTAACGCATTCCGGGCACAATTTGGGCGGCAAGATTGGGCAGAATAACAAGACTTGTCGAGAAACAAGGCGGGATGGTGGGGAAATGGAAAAAAAATTATAAAAAAGTAAAAAAAAAATTCTAATAAAAAATGATTAATGCATTTTAGGCACAATTTGGGCAGCAAGATTGGCTGGGATTGTAAGAAACAAGGCAGGATTGCAAAAAACAAGGTGGGATTGTGGGGAAATGGAAAAACAATTATAGAAAAGTAAATTAAAAAAAAAAAGGGCCTCGATTGTTTGGGCCTACTCTTGCGGTTGCCGATTGTTAGGTCCAAGAACCGACAATCGCCCGCTTGGGCCATCGGTTACAACCGCAACCGAGGTCCACCTCAATCGATCACAAGAAAAGCCCAACTCACTGGTTACAGTTGTGGACGGGCATTTTTGTGGTTACGGTCCTAAACGCCCAACCCTAGAAAGAACCCTAAAATCCCAATTATTGAACTTCAGTTTGACCCCTTTTTACCCATTTCAGTCAATAGATTGTGTTTATGGGTGGGGTTACGTAAACCCAGGAATTATTGGACGGAAAACAAAAAGAAAAGAATTTTGATTAAAATAATAAATATAAATGTAATCAGATTTAATTTAGTATAAAAATAGAAATTAATTTGCTTTTAATTAATCTTAATTGAAATAATTGATTGATTTAATTGCTTTTAATTAAAATATTTAGATTTATTTAATCATTTTAATTAAAATTAATTAAATTAATTAATTTTAATTAATTCTTAATCAATCAAGTTTAATTATGTTTACTTTGAGTTATCACATTTACAAAAAAATAAATAAACAATTGGGGATGCTATTTTTCAGGAAGTCCTGGCGGTCCTGGTAGCATTCCAGCCCTCCATCATGTGGCTTCTACAGTAGAACCCACATGATGGAGAGCTGGGATGCTGCTAGGACCGTCAGGACTTCCTGAAAAAACACTTTTCTGTAAACAATTTAAGGGATCTTCAAGATAATTTTGTAGAAAGAAAATCTTATCAAGATAATCACGCTGTTTCCGGATTTAAGGGATCTTCAGGTCCGTGGATTCCAGAACCTCTGAAGTCCGTCTCTCAACTAGCAAAATATGTGTTAAATGGAGTAACTACATAATTTAACGCGGACAATTTTAATAAATGATTTATTGATTTGAATGGAAGATATTTAAATTTTTTAAGTAAAATTTTAAATTTGAATCTTATAAATAAAAAAATAGATATTGAGAAAGTTTTTTTTAATATGGTTCAACGTGATTTCAAATTAATTGGAATTAAAATAATTAATAAATACTGAAAAATTAATAAAAAAAAAACATAATTTTGGATGAGAGACGGACTTCAGAGACTCTAGAATCCGCGGACTTGAAGATCCCTTAAATCCGGAAACAGCATGATTATCTCGATAAGATTCTCTGTCTGGGCATCTGATTTTTTTTTAGATTGATTTCTTACCATTTATATATCAATCAAAATTAATAATAATAAAAAATATCTCGAAAATAAGAGAAATAAAGTATATTTTTTTATATAATGAATTATATGTAAAAAAAAATTTAAAAATTATAATTACACAAATGATTATTGTATTATGCATTATATTTTATGTTAAAAAGTTTTACTGAGTAAGACACTAAGACATCTATTTGAACTTGGTTAAATGGTTCTAGTCACACTTATAAGGTTCATATCTCTCTCCTTCAGGATAACGGTTCGAATCGATTTTATAATAAAATGTTAAAAAAAAAAAAAAAGAGTAAGACATCTATTTTTAAAGTTTAAACATTTTAAGTTGGTATTCTTTTACAGACTTAAAGAAAAACACTTAAAAGTTTAGCTGTTATAACTTTTTTATTTGAATTTAATATTAAATTTAAATATAATAAAAGGAAATAATATTTTAATGATAATTAAATGTTAAATATAAAAACTTTTATAAGGATGTTGAAGTTTAATTAATTTTTTACATAAAAAACGAAAATTTTTTTATTTAATATACATATAATAAAAATAATAATAATAATACATATTACTTAATAAAAAGCTTAATTAATTATTATTTTTAATAAATATTAAGTACATATCTTTTTTCTTTTTAAATGTAAAAAATTACAAATGCACCTGGTTTTTCAGGTTAACTGGCAACCCGTCAACCCGAAATGCATTCTCTTCTACCTTATGAGTGGGTTTTGAGTCTGTCTCAAGATAACTTGTTAAAAAAAAAATTACAAACAAATGAGGAATTTTTTAAGTTGTTTGTAAGAGTGAAATTCTAAACTAATTAAATATAAATAATAAGATAATAAGATTTGGACGAATGGGTTGAAGGCTCGGTTCAAGTACATATTTTATTTAACATATGTTTCGTACAATTAATAAAAAATTAAGGCCAAAGGGGCACGGTTGTTAGTCCTTACAATCATAATGATGGAAGGAAAGAGAGACGCATGTAAATTATATATTTGTATGTAGCTTTGTGTTTTGATTTGGCTAAATGGTTAAATGCTTAAAGCAGAGTAGGGGACCTTTGGAATAAGAAAACAAGATTTATGAAGAGCAAACGAGACTTTAGAGTGGAATGTATGGGTGAGTTTGCAGGGAGGGTTTCGAATGAGCATTTTTGGTTTTGGTGTAAAATAGAGAGAAATGAAATGAGCACACCTCAATTGGCTATTATTGAAAATGAGAGAGAGAAAGGTCATTGGGCTTTTGTTAATGAATTTTTTAAATTTCTGTTTTAAGAATATAAATTTAGAGTCTTAAAAAATAAAAAAAATAATATTTAATTTATTAATTATTTAATTTAATTTATTCACTTGATATTAATTTTAAAATTAATATATTTTGATATTTTTTATATAAATTTTTTTATAAAAAAATACTTTTACCTTAGGTTTAAAAAATATAAATTAAAAAATCCTTCGTTAATTAACCTTGTCCATTATGAAAGAGAAATAAACAGCTTTTTTTTTTTTTTTCCTGAATATCGCATTTTGGGGGGAAGAAAATGTCATCTATGAAGGTTTAAAATCGTAGCTCACAGGAGATGCTTATCACTTGAGCAAAGAGATCGATTACTAAAGTAAGGCGTGAGGATCGATGAACAGTTTTTTCATTCCATGTGCAACACTGCAAGTACGCGGAAATTTGGGCCCCAACCATGGTAATTCACTCTACACTAACACGACGATTAAATAGAAAAATAAATATATTTTAATAAAAAATTAAAATTAATTATGCTATTTAAAAATTACTAAATTTTGAATTTTTTATTAAAAAAATTTATATGCTTATTTCACATCTTTTCTCAAATATATTTTAAGGAAAACACAGGATGTCAATATTTTTCATTTTTTCTAGGATGCTTCCGTTCATCATCCAACGGTAATAAATTATTTTTTTGAGACTGGGCAATAAAAGCAAACAAACCTAAAATTTTAGGTTGTAATAGTGTGTCATACCAACTGTATGGTGAATACTCTGTTAACTTTTATAATGTATGTTGTAATAGTTAGAGGAATTACTTGTATCTCTTTTTTAAAATATTATTTTAATTAAAAAAAAAATTTAAAATTTAGAGTAATAAAATACTTCAAAATATTTAAATACAAATATTAGAAAAAAAACACCTATTTTTTTATATCAGTACCAATAAAAGTCGAAATTGAAATAATTGAACATTGCTTGTTAGCATTGCATTGGATGCTTCCCGTGCTTTTCATCATCCCAAATCCCGACAACAATAATTACAATTACTTTTCCTTTTACTCCTGGACCTACTAACCGTACCTTCATTTGATATCTACGTTGGGTCATTCTTTTTACATATTTGTGTTTTT